AAATAAATTGGGGGACATCAGGTCGGTTTTGGATTTTAGAGAGATCAATCTCAAGAAAAGTTAATTTATCCTGCAGAACAACCAGTAGTTTAAGTAGGAACTTTATTAGAAAATTTCCTTGATAATAAATTGTAATATACCAATTGTTTCAAATGAAATTGAAAAAGAGTTAAATTCGAAATAAGATTGTTCATGGGTAAAATGTTATATTCATTCAAACATTGTAAGGTAATCTATAATTAAGGGAATATGGAAAATAGGTATACCCTGGTAGTATAAGAGGCAGGTAAGGGACAATGACAAAAAAATTACAAAAATGTATTCATCTTTAAATAGTGTTTATTATTAATATTATTATTTGCTATGTTTGAAAAGTACCTCCTGCTGCAGAACAGATTGAAAAGATTAGACGATTAGTTGGAGAAAGTTCACCTAGTAACCAAATTAGGAGACTAGGAAAACTTTTACATGACTGGGGACACAACAGGAATGCACACGCACAACATACACAAACAGACGACATAACAGTGGTAAGCCTTCAGCAACGTCCTGTTTAAATGATGATAGTATGTCATCCTTCATTCCCTTTTAGAAGGCATGGCATATAAATCTATTGAACTTAATGACCCTAAGAGGAGTTAGCAGGGGGGTGTACGGACTGGGTGGCTTCGATTCAGTTTACAGGATGGGAACTTACTCGACTCGTGTTGTGTGAGTGTATGTGTGTGTTTGTTTCGTTACCATGGTTTCTGTTAAAATAAACAGTCAGAACATATCGATACCTTTTTGCCAGACTAACGTAATCGACATTTGTTCAAGTTCAAATGTCACTTACGATAGTCTGGCAAAAAGATATCGATATACTCTATACTTTATAAAATATTTGTTACATTAGTTTTTAAATATATTATGAATATATAACAACTGTTACTTTCTTTGTAATTTGATACAAAATGATCCGAGGTACTTTCTAAACATAGCAATTGTAGTTTGTTTTCCTGTACCTTACAAAAATATAATTTATAGAAAAAAGGTTTGGTGTATTATTTTTCCAAGTTTATATATTTAATAATCAATAGAATTTTCAAGTTTTTTTTAGCGAAATTTACAAGAGTAATAAAAACTATGTTCACTGCTTATATCAAACTGATTAAAACTTCCTTTATTAAAATGGTTATTTATATGATAAAAAATTTGATGTTATTGGAAGCTTTTATATTTTTTAATATACAGTGAAACAATAGTTTTTGTTTCTCCTGTAAATTTGTATAGAAAAACTATTTCTGAATCAATGTTTGAATTTCCCGCCCTAAAGCATTTTTAATTTTCCCGCTATTTACTAGTGGCGCCATCATAGACTGGTTGTGGTTACAATCGCCCAAACAACGTTTACCGAACAAAAAAATACATTGAGTTACACGTCTCGCTGGGTTGTCTCTGCTTATACACAGTAGCGTAACCAGTGTTGCCAGAGTACCCTGAAGGAATGTAATAGATGAACTCTCAAAATTGTAATAAATTTCAAGAAAATGTAATAGAAATTTTAGTCAACTTAAAATGAACTATACATAAAAAATACGATTCTATTGCTGCGTTTGAGAATTCACATCGGATTCATCTGAGATGTAGTAAATCTTTAATCACGTGATTTAGTATACGTAAATGTAATAGGACAGATGTGTCCGATGTAGATAAAAAAACACTCGAGATGTAAAAAATGCATCCGATGTGGATTCTCAAACGCGGCAATTGTATTGATTTTTGTCGCATTTGAAAATCCACATCCGATGCATTTTTTTACATCTCGAGCGTTTGTTTATCCACATCGGACACATCTACATCTGCGTTTGTTTATCCGAGATGTACCTATCCAGATTACATTTTTTACATCTCGATTTAAAATGAGATGTGAATGAGGTGGTCGTTCCATGCCGGAAAGTAAGTTTTCTGTGAAGCCAAGTTTGTCAATTTATCCTTTGTTTATGCTAGCGTGAATATAAAAGTAATTAGTTTGTTTAGATTTCAAATTTAGGTTGATCTCAAAATTCAAATTTAAAAAGTATAAACTTCTAACTTGTCGCAGATAAATTCAGAACGGTTCTGTACTGGGGTTGAAACAAATCTTTTGTAAAGAAAACGAAGAAAAAAGAAATTCTGTCTCCAATGCAAGGTCCAATGATATAAGAAACTTTTTAAGCGCTTTGGGCATGTTCAAGAAAATATGTTTGGGATAAACAACCAAATAAACCTGTTTAAGATGGTATTAGTTGTATGACATAATAAACAATATATTAGGAACATAGAAAATCAAGGGTTAGGTTCAAGTTTATCAATCGTGAAAATGTAATAGATTTATTGGACATGTAATAATGTAATAAACCCTTCAAAAATGTAATAGATTTGTTACAATTGTAACAAACTGGCAACACTGAGCGTAACATATGTGGGGGAGAGGAGAAGGCGAATTCCTCCTCCCACCCTTTACGTTTGGAGCACCTTTAACGTCTATCAGAGAGGTTTGAACGCCCCAGAAAAGTTTCGCTCATTTCGCCCTTTGGCCCACGCTATGCCACTGCTTCTAGAATAATATTGGTTTGCTCACCCCATACAGCACACATTATTTTACAATTGTTTCAGAAATATTTTAAACGTTTAAAACAGCACAAGTTCCTGAAATATTTCTGAAATATTTTTGTTAAATATTTTACTGAAAATGTTTCTGAAACATGGTATACATGTAACACAAAAGGTTACTGAACGGGTTATGTTGTAAAAGGCCAACACTTAATGAAGAATTTCTGATTTGTAAGAAGAAGATGAGTTAAATAGTTATTTTATTTCATCCTATGTCCAGCCAGAGATGAGACAACGCTATATATTCTAAATAAATATAGGTTTGCATTATCTGTTTTTGCCATATTCTTTTTTTGTTATTTAAGCGTTGTGATTGTAGCGCCTTGGAAGCACTACATACTAACTCCAACTCATAATATATTGATTCATGTCACATCCATGCCACACATATCAATATTACCTATTAAGGCAGCTTAAGCCTTGGTTTCTTTGAACACTCCATCGCGGCGAGCGGACAGTCCGTCGACCGTCGTGTTTTGACGATTTTATCCAACCAGAGTATTTAAATGGGAACGGTTTTCTTTAATCCGCTTAGCTGAGCAGGACGGCGTCGTGCCGCTGATTTGTCGCTAGTAGCCGGTTCATATCTGTTGAGTTTGATATCAGCGGAACCGTCGGCGTGTGCGGAAACAGTTTGTGAATACAAATAATTATATTGGTATTATTTTTAAAACAATGAGTGACAAATTCAGACATACAGATGACTTTATTTGTAGGTTTCTTGGAAATGTCGTCCTTTATAAAACTCAACACGAATTTAAAAAGATCTGTAGAAAGTCTAAAATACTCCCTAAATTTGGTTTCATTTTTAAAAAGCCTCCCGTGCACAGTGATATTGAAGGCACCTTCTGCATCGCGACACAAAAACAACTTATCCACTGGCTAATTGGAAACTTTGACGGTTGCAATTCTCAGTTCCTCTTGTTCTTCCAACAATAATAACAACGCAAACAATTTATTTGCATCCATTTTAATACCTTTTGTTTACATTCATAATACATAAACAGCACGTACAGACATAGAGAAGGTCTCATTTACTATATTTAACAAACCACCTCGGGCGAAAATCGCTGTCCTCAGTGGTCGACGGACTGTCCGCTCCAGAGATAACAGTCCGCTCACTGCAACGAAGTGTTCGAAGAAACCAAGGCTTTAGTGGGAGGAAGGATTTAAGTGCACCCTATCTATCTACTTGACGACCTTGGTTGCCAAGCATTAATATTTATTAAAAAAATAAATGTCATTATATAATTTTCTGTCATGACGGAATTATCTATTTATTATATTAATATATACTCTTTTACAAACCGCTATATTATTTATAACATGGGATCTACAAAGTTAAAAGATCCCATAGTGATGTTGTTATATGGGAAGCAGAATATGTCTTGAGGTGAGTTTACTACAATGCTTGTTCAGGATAGATTTAATTCTCTAAGACTAGTGACGCCATTTAATTTATCAAATTTAGAGGCAGTTTTAGTTTTATTTTTATCTAAATATAACCTACATTTGCTGCCCCTTCACCTAGTTTTATTTATTAGTTCTATAGCTCTGATTGAAAAGCGGAGCTTCATGTTTTATTTAGGAATGAGTATTGTTTGTTTTATTACAGTTAATTTAAAACAATATTAATAAAACTATTGTTAATAAAATAATTTGTATAAAATCCTTTTTTAAGTAACTATAATTTGTTTCAGATTATTGCATTTTAAGGTCAAAATGAAGTGATTCGCTTTTATATTTTATGAAATAATATTTAAAAATTATTTATTTATTCGTTTGTTTAAGAATATTTTGTTTGTTTTGTGTATTTTAAATAAACATGTATATTTTTAAATGTCTTTTTAGTCTAATATTATGTTGGAAACGTTTCTACAACGTTACATAATATTTATGAAAAAAAAAACTCGAATACATTTCTGAAATATTATTATTTCGTATTTCTAAAAGTTTTCATTTCAGAAATATTACTGTAAAATATATTTACGTTTCAGGCACATTTCATAAATTTTTCTGGGATGTTTCGTAATATTTATACAACATTACAAATGTTTCAATGTAACATTTTTTAAATATTTCGGAAATGTGTTTGTGCTGTATGAACGTTATCTAAAAAACCCCTTATCACAAACTATCCTTACTTCGCTAAGAGCTAGTAGGTGAATTACCTTTTTGAACGTCAATCCACAACTAATTAAAAAATTACATAAACAAAAATGTAACTTAAGGTATTCACTTAATAGGTATCGGTTTATTTTTTAAACATCCTTTCTCCTTTCATTATTTTGCATTGCATTTTATTTAACAGATACACCTCCAAATAAATTACAGCGAAGTACCTAAATGATTATGTTAATACACGAATGATATCGCTAGACGCGTTCAGTGCGACAACAGTGAATGTTCCACGATCCGCGTGTGCAATTATCATTGAACCTTTACGGAGTGTTGCTAAATTTTTACACCTGCTAGACGCGGAAGGTATGTTGAAAGGCGACTTCCGAATCCATGGTAAGTTGTTTTGATATTAAATATATGTAAATATTTCTTTTAAAAAATTAGGTTTAATAAATTTTCTGCTCACTTAAAATTAAAAGGTACTTTCTCTTTCTATTGAAAAGGAATTTAAATTTACGTAAAAATAGACAAAGATCATTTTACTTTACTAAAAAATAATGTTTGATAATATGATAATTTGTTATTTCCACAACCCTCTGTAAGAAATTTTTTTATATAAATTTAATTTTGTTGATTTTGATTCTGGGTTGGGTTCACTCACTTACATGTTTATTTTCAATAATTTCGATAAAAAAGAAAAAAAATTAAAAAAGCTTCCCTTACTAATTTCTATATAAATTTTCAAATTGGCACTTGCAGGGGTAAAGGGGTATAAGTCTAAAATATTCAAAATTGAGTTAAATCTGCCGCGATGCTTCTAAACTCATTTGTACCCCTGGAAAAAGGGATATAAGTAATGGGAAAAAAGGATATAAGTAATTTAAGCCTTACAAAATTTGAGTATTTAAAAAAACCGTTATTCAAACGGGAATATTAAAACTTTAAACTCAGTTTACCATAATTGTTGATTTAGGAAATATACCCCTTTCCCCCAAGTGTCATTTGTACCTCCTATATTCTTTTTATGTTTGGTCTGATTCCACTTATTTGAATTTAGAGACAAAAATAAAAAATGTATTAATTTAAATTTAACTTGTCTCTTCCCTCTTGTCTCTTTTTCCTGACTGCTCGGTATTCAGTTTTACACTTCTTCAGCATTCCATCCAGTATGTCAAAAAAAAATAGTATTACTTAGATCTTCTCAAATCTTCCAACAAAAACAAGTTATTTTACAATTCAATCCTTTATTTTACTCTATCAATATCTTCCAATAAAATAGGAGTACTAACCTCCCATAATTACACTTGTGATAATACATCCGTGGGAGATCTAAATCACTTAATATTTGCATGCCCAATACACGAACAAAATAGAAATATACTTATAAATAACTTTAAAAAACTGGATTTCACTCTACCTCTAAATATTACATGTCTCCTTTGTTCAGAAAATAAAAACGTTTTAAATCAGTTAATTGATTATATAAAAAAAATCTAACATAAACATTTAATGTAATTTTAAATACTAAAGAACATTACCATTTCCATCTAAGAATATTAAAACATTAATAAATAAACACTAAATATTCTGTGGCAAATGGAGTCATTCCGATACCAACGGCCAAATTAAGTCATTCATTTTATCATTTCAAATTCCCCAAATTTTGTCTTTAAGTAATTTATTTTCTAAATAAATTATTAAATATTAAATTTTCAAAAACAATCATTTTATTTACTTTATCCAAATTATTAATACCTGACATTCCACATTCATTCATATGCACATTCTTAAAGTAACAAAAGCAACAAAAACAAATTAATTTAGTATACTTAACAAAATTCCAATAAAATCAATTTATTTCACTTTATTTCGAAATATATTTTAACTATATTTATATAATAAAATAAAAAACGCCTAACTTCACTTACTTCGTATGTCATATTCCATGTATCCTAAAATGTTTCCCATTCCCCTAAATTTGTATTCAAATTGTATATCTTTTTAATATTTTGTTCAAAAGTTCTTCGGTTCTTGTCCTTTTCTTTATATTCATAATCCACTTAATTTATAATTAATTACTTTCAATCCGTTTTTACACATTCTTAACAGTATTTCTCTTTATAATCCTATTTCCTTCATTATTTCATAATAATATCATTTATTTTTATATTTATTATAAATCGTCATTACAACTTATGATACATAATATTCTTCATAATATACACAACCAAACTTATTATTTTCATAATTTTTGAAATTTTTTAACATTTTTTTGTTTATGAATAAAACTTAGTGCTTATCAAAGACTTTTAATGGAAAATAACCCACATAACAATAAAAAACTTAATTATTTGATGAAATAACCACAACGGTATTTTTTTGGTTTCTGAAACGAAATTACATTTAAATTTTTAATGGACAAAACGCAGAACTAAAAAAATTTGTAATTTTAATAATCCGTGTTGCCACCTCTAGCCCTTATGCAAGCTTCTATTCGCTTTGATATGCTTTTTGTTAAATTGTCAACATTTTCTATGTATGTTTTGACGAGCTCTAACCCTTCTTTTGAGCTGGTCCTATAAGTGTTTGATAGGATTTAGGTCTGGTGAACATGCAAGCTAGTCTAAAACTGTGACATCTGCCGTTTCAAGACATTCTCTAGCCACTCTGCTGGTAGAGGTGGTGCATTATCGTGCATGAAGATAAAATTATTCCAAATTGCAACTCTATAAAGCTTAACGATTGGCTCTAGTGCTAAATCAACATACCTCCGACCGGTTAAAGTTTGTTGAAGTGGTAACAATGGAGTTTTTGTTCCCTCATAATATCTCCCCAGAACATTACAGTTCTTCCTTGATATCTTGGGACAGATCTGACAGCTTGGAGTCACGCTCGTCTGTCTGGAGCTCTGAGAACCCGAATTTAATGGTCATATGATCTTAGGCCAATTCTGGTCTCATCCGAAAAAATAACTGCCAATTTTCAGTTGTCCAGTTTTGATGTTGAAGGCACCAATTTTATTTTGTCTAAATAACCGTGGGACCTGTAACTCTCTCCTACTGTACAATCCTTAAGCGCGAGGTATGAAACGTTCACACCTGTAGCTTCCAGAAGTTGTTGTTTCAGCTCTGGATCGGAAACACTGGTATTTCTTTCAGCAATTTGGCATACAAAGTGGTCCTGTTGTTCAGTTATGACTCTTTGACGACTTTGTCTGGGCCTATTCTTGAGAGTTCCTAGCTCCAAATACCTTTGGGGCAATCACTGTTCAATGAGAACAATAATTATTATTTCTCTCTGCACATCTGTTAGTCCAACATAAGGCATTTTTTGTTTTTTTTTTTTTTGGATCAAAATAAAATTACCAGATAATCATTATTTTACTACTGAACACAAAATTTACAAGATATTGAATCGAAGCAGTCGTTTCTTCTTTATTATCATGTTTGGTTAGAACAAAAAGCCTTATCTTAAAGTTAAATACCAAATTTTTTTCTTACAAAAAGTTAATTCAGAAATACAGAGTGATTCCATATAAGTTTGGTTGTGTGTATTTCATTTATCCTTCTTCTACTTAAACCATTTTTTTATAATCTTTTAATTTTATTTATATTCCAGCAATTCTTTTTCCACATAATCCCTCTTGAAAACATTATCTTCTTTTTTTTAGTATTAAATGTTTTCTTTATTTGAATACATAAATCTTTCTTTAATTTTTTTTTAAATCTCTAATTATTTCTTCTTCATTTGAATATTTAAATATTCCTTCCTCATTTTTTGTTTGTTTTTGTTTTTAAATATCTCTAACCGATAGTTCCTATTTTTTATTTTATTTCCTAAATAGTCCTTAATATATTGTCCGTCCGTCCCTCCCTCCATTTCCCGGCTAGACCAACTTTTTTTTTGACAGCGGAATTATCTGTTTCAGGAAATTTCCTTAGATTCGGGAAAATAGAAAAAAAATATTTTTGTTTTTCGCATTTTCCGACTTTTCTAACAAATTTCCCGAAAAAACTAAAAATGCCAGTATACTGCTCGACGTTTTTCACAATCTGACATCAAATTTTTTCCGATACCCCAAACACATTTCTCAGGAAAGTTAGGGGAAAATTTGCGTCGAACGCTTTTCCGGGAAAAATGTTGCTTAAAAGAGGAGATAGAGCAAAAAGACCTTAAGAAGAATTATCCGGACCAATGAGACGTGTCAATTAATATATCACGTGTCTAGGTTTTTATGACAGGGGGAGGGGGAAACAAAAAACCGTAAAATTTTCGGTTTTTTTTTTTTCAGAAATTATAAAAAATCTAGGTAAATGTGTTTTTAAAATCTTCCTACCGAATGGTGTAGAAAAATTTGAAATTTAACTACGGCATAGGGGTTTTCCACCATTTTTCCGACTAAAACAACTTTTTTTCGACAGAGGATTTAAACGTTTCTGGAAATTTCCATTCGTTTAAAGAAAATAAAAAAATTTTTGTTTACCTATTTTCACATCTCTCAAAATCTGGCTTCGAAATTTTTCTGCTAACTTAAACACATTTCATAGGAAAATTAAGGGAAATTTTGTGTCGAACGCTTTTCCAGGAAAAAGTTTGCTTAAAAAGGGAGAAAAATACCTTTAGAAAAATTATTTGGCTAGACGAGGCGCGTCGATAGGGTTTTTATCATATGGGGAGGGGGAAATAAAAAAAAGGGAAAAGGGTTTGGCTTTTTTCAGATATTTATGAAAAATTTAAAATAAATGCGTTTTTAACATTTTTCTATCGAATGGTATCGGAAAATACAAAATTTTTCAAGCCATAAAAGAAATAAAATGATAATTAAATTTTTATAAAACTTTTATGAAAATACCTTCATTAGAATAAAAAAATAAAAAAATTTGGTTTTTAAACATTTACTTTACAAAAACAGGGTATTGCGTAAACGCATCACCGGTCAATGCTATGATCTACATAATATGATACATTTGGAGAATTTGAAGCAGCCAACGTAAAGGTGCCATTTCGGTAGCCGCGTCAGGAGACAGGAGACCACTGTGGCGACCAGTAGGACGACAGATGCATAAATGTTACGCTCTTGAAGAAGTGTCGCGCGACACTTGCAAATAACCATTCGAGGGAACGATCAGCGTTGCCAGACCTACTGTTTTTACGTAAATCCAGTGTTTTTGTCTCTAGTAAATTTTGTTCTTAATTTATTAAGTTTGCCTCATTCTTCAGCAAATGGTTAAAGAATATTTTCTCTTGTAAATGTTCTGCAGTAAAAGCAGCGTAATAAGCATCCACTACTGTAGGTTGGCTCCATAAAAAAAAAACATCAAGATAATCATTGTTTTTATTTAAAATGAAACAAAGAATTAATAGAGCATCATAAAAAGAACATGCATATGCCA